CAGACTATCTGAATTGGAGGGCAGACTTGAAACATGGGAGAATGAAATGAAAAACTTCTTAAAAATAACAAAGAAACACACAGCAATAATACAAAGACAAGAAGATGATAAGAGGAGCCATAACTTAAGGATTAAGAACATAAAAGAAGAAGTAGGGACACAAACAAGTGAACTACAAAAGCTACTCCCAGAAATAATCCAGGAGAATTTTCCTAATTTAGCAAAAGGTAAAGATACTCAAATGTATGAGGTATACAGGACCCCAGCTACCTACAACCCTAACAGAGAAACACCCAGGCATATAATAATAAAAATTCCAGAAATTCAATACAAGAACAGAATATTAAAAGCTGTAAGAGACAAGAAACAGATCACTTACAAGGGAAGACCCATCAGAATTACAGCAGATTTCTCTTCACAAACCATCAAATCACGAAGAGCATGGGGAGAAATAATTCAAGCTTTGAAAGATAATAATCTACAGCCAAGATTGAGATATCCTGCACAACTGTCCCTGGAAATTGATGGAAACACGAGGTGCTTCCAGGATAAAGAGGAACTGGGGGAATTTGCAACCACCAATTCAACCCTACAGAAAGTATTGCAGGATATTCTAAAAAAAGAAAAATACAAAGAACCCAGAAATAGGGGCGGGGAGGCCACAACGAATGGAGCAGAGAACAAAATGAAGAAGACAAACTGACAGCTACTGACAGAAAAAGAGCTCAACAGAAATGAGACAGAAGATTGGATGATAGGAACAGCTTTTTTTTGGAGAAAATGACATCTTAATAGGTAATACTGATTTAGTACCATCTTGTTTTGAAGTCTCATCTAGCTTTTGTTCTTCTGTCTCCAATGGTCTAAACAGGTTGTATCTTATTGGATTTTGTTATGTACGATAGTATAAGAAAAAACCTTTTAAAGACAAGGATTATACAGAGACCATTGTTCATTTTCTGTTAGTCGATTCTAAATACTCTATAATGCTGTCATTCTCTTAAATGGATTTACATTGTTTTGATATACTTAATGCTACAGTATATGAAGTTGTACTCAAGGACTTCAGGGAGGGAGTCAATATGGTAACTATTTTTGGGTCAGGATTAGCTGGTGGTGAAACACTATTCTGCTTAAATGGTTATGTTTTGATCTGCCCTGTTTCGCTGTTATGCCCTCCTTTTTCTCAATCTCCACTCCATTATTTACTTTTTTATTTTTATCCATTTAATTAAAGGGAAAAATATAGCAGGATATAATATAATAACCCACTTTGACTTTCTATTATCTCGATTTGAAGCCCTGTATTACTCTCACCATCTTGTTTTTGACTGAGGTTCCTATATTCTGTTTTGCTGGATAGTATCAGGTTCGAAAGTTTAGGCATCAGCTGAGAAGATAATGAGATTCATTATAACGCCCATTCTCGTTGACTTTTATCTACTTTTGAAGACCTACAATATCTCCAATGTTTTGGTTTTGTCGGTTTTATTCTTTACGGTTTTGTTCAATTGTATTACAACTAATGATATAGGCAATTCTATTAGAAATAGCGGGAGGCATTATGGTAACCATTGTTGATCACCTTGTATTATGTTCTTATATTATCTATTATGTCCACCCTTTTGACTTGACCGATTCTGTTCTGTTATGTCACATTTGGTTTTACTCTCTTCCAAAAAAGCAACAAGAACCGTGGGAGCAATGAAACCCAAAATGTGTAATAGTCACTGTACAAAAGAGAGGAAAAGAAAGTGCTCTAAACTATATAACTGCATGTATATTTAAATGTATAAGATAGAAAATGATATCACAGAGTTTTATTGGATCATTGAACAGAACTGTTTGCAGTATCATTGTTGGAATGTCCACTCTACAAGCTTTAATTTTGTGACTTAAACAATTATTTCTAAGATGGCAATATGTAATCCATTAACTAGTGATTTCCTACTGCGCATTTTTTTCTTCTGTAAATCTGTATAACTTGTACCCCTTCACTGTTTTTTTTCCTTTCTTTTCTTTTCTCCTTAAATAAAAATTTAAAAAAAAAATCCTATGTTGCCACTGTTTTTGTTGTTATTGTTGTTATCATTTTGCTTTTGTTGTCTTTTGTTTGCTTCTTGATTTTTTCTGTTTTCTATTTAAAATAAACAACTGTAAATTGCTAATGTTCCCCTGTTGAGGGTCCTTTGTGCTCTTCCCCTGTTGACCCTTCTCCATTCTTTTCCTGCCCCCTCCATTAGCCCACCACCTCCACCCCGAACTTTCCACCCACTCCCAGCCCTATTTTCTGTTTGTCTCTAAGACTCCAGACCACCACAGAACTGCATCTGAAGGTTTGGTGCTTGGCTTGTACAGGTATCCAAGGGTGGCCTTGTGAACATTTCTCTCCTCAAATGAAAATTGACACTGGAAGCCAGTTCTTTTCATGCACTGCTTGTGGTAACCAAAGCTCCCAGAAGATGCCACATGCTGGATCCAGGGACAAGTACCTGGATGGCACCTTGAGTTCATTCATATTCAGCCCCTTCGGGGGTTTGATGTTGCCTACCTTTGACCCCTGTATACTATACTATGAAAGCCAGGTTGGACGTCCACCAACAGAAACAGTCTCCTGCTCTGTAAAGATTTCAGGGCTCAGGGAGTCAAGACTGAGGCTTGCTGCCTATGGACACGGAAAGACTCTACCATGTTACTGAACCTGGTCTCTAATGGGGTGTAGTGATACTAACTTCAGGTTGTCTGAAAGTTTTTTGGGGGTCATACACCTCTGATGCCCTGCTCTGTGACTGATGTGAAGGTGATGACTTCTATCCCAGGCCATGTTCTGGGTGGGCCTTGTGCTGCAAATCCTCACTTGGCCGGGTGTTCCCATATTAGCTGCACCTGGGTCAACATGAACCCTGGTCAGTCCCTGGTAGCTATTCCAGCTATAATCTTAGGTAACCCACATGTATTGGAGCTGTGTCGTGAATCATGTTTTTTCATCACCTTTGTCCTGCATCAGAGATATTTTGCCTTTCCTCTGGTGAACCCACACCTATCATGTGCCATTCTGCATGTTGCCTAAACTGTACTATTTCACCCTGGCCTTAGATTCTGTCTTTTTGCCTTTTTAATGATTCCTGATCCTACTTCCAAGCCCTCCTCCTTTGTGGGCTTCTTATTTATTTCTCATTCCTCAGTTCTGATTCTGTGTGCCCAAGTTCTCCTGTCCAACCCTGTTTGCTTCTAATACAGCATTTGATCACAACCTGTTAGAAAGAAAAGCGCAGCAAACAGCATCTCAGAACTCTGAAGGGTGCTTTTATTTATTCTCTATTACTTCCATTGTGCGGCTGCTTCCTAAGTGATGTATGCAGTTATATTAATCTTCAACAGTACGTCAGAATCAGCACATTTCTACTTATCTCTGCATATCTATGTGGATAACCACATGGTAGCTAAAGTCATGGGACAGCGCTACATGCTGTTATCTTGCATACTCCCAGGACTGAATGATTTTGCTGTCTTGTTGTGCCTGAAAAAACTACAGTTTCCTGCTCTCGCTTGCTTCTTCATGGCCTCGCGCTCTGGCTTCTGTTCTTGTGTGATGGGGCTGGACATGACAGGCTCAGGCATGTTGGGTTCCCTCCAAGGAATTGGTTGGCGGCTGAAGTCTTGCAGGAAAAATGGGTTTTGCAGCTGATGTGGGGCCCTGCATTTGTTCACAGCAGAGGCAACAGGCTTCCTTCTGAGAGAGGCAGGTGGTAGTGTTTCCTGGCATGCAGCCTTAGATAGTGCAGACTGAGAAAGTCCAGGTTGTTTTGAGGTGGTCCAGTGTGGCTGATTGGCATTTTTCACGACTGGCTGAGCTGGTTTGACAGGACCCATCAGAGAGGTGTTGCCAGCTGCTGTTTGGGATGGCTGAGCTGTGTTGGAAGCAACAGGGTGGACAGGAAAAGCTACAGTGGGTCTCCTTGAGGTTAAAGCCTGTGGCCTTCTAGAAATAGGTCTTACCTGAGGCTTTTCTGGGCTGGGAAAGTGCAAAGATATTGACTTCACCTGTCCAGGTGGTGGGAGCTCACTCAGGGATGCAGATGACTCCTCTGCCTGGGTGCTGCTGTGCTGATTCAGGGGGTTGTCCTGAGCCCTTTTTGGGCCCCTTCCCTTCATGTGGGGCCCGCTGCCATAGTTTGTTTGTTGGCAATGACTTGCAATCTTTGCTCCTGGTTGATGTTCTTAGGACCCCATTTGAAAAATCCCCAGTTCTCTTATCAGTCTTCCTCCCTAGTGAGTGAAAAACCTTCCCAGACTCTAGAGTTTCAGAGGCTTCTTGGCCAAGTGCAAGTTGGTGTCCCTTGAACTTCATGTTAAAAGTGGTCAGCCTTTCTTTTTCCTTGAATTTGGGCCACAACTGCTTTCTCTCTAATGTTTGCTTGCTTTTGGGTCTCATTCTCTTGACCCTAGCTTGCCCACAGTGCTCAGTTTGAGTAATCATGGTGGATATTAAACTCAGCTCAACTGCATCCATGGGAGCCCTGTCGTTGGTCTCTTCACTGAAAATGAGCTGTATTCTGTGAACAAGCTCTCAGAGGCCTTCAGATGAAGTTTAGTCTCAAGAGCTCCAGTGACTGACCTGGAAGTTTTCTGTCTGTTCTTCACTGGCAGCAAGGAGACCTTTGTAATGCCTGAGTTCTTCTGAACCTGATTCACCTTGGTAAATCCAGTGTCTTGGGTTTTGATGGTTGTTGGATGCCTGAACAGGTCAAGATTGCCAAAGTAATTAAATATGTGTAGAAGTTGATTATCCTCTATGAGGGCTGCGACATCTGCTCAAACTGGGATAGACTCAATCCTATTGCAGAGAGCTCCTTAGTCCTGGAAACTAGAGCAGCACTTTCCCCAAAGGCCTGCATCCGAAACAGGCTTTTCTTGTCTTGGAGGCTCAGTGGAGGCCAGAAGCTCAGGAAGGTCAGGGATCACTAAGGAGAATAAAGGGGATTTTTGTTGCTTATTAGAATCTGGTGGACTCAATTCCAGATACTGCAGTGCATAGAGAACCTGGTTTGAGGCTTGCCACCCCAGAGATGCTGATGTCCTTCGGGAAGTTTTCCTCACTGAAAAGCAGTCGGGGAAAACATCTATCTGCTGAACGAGTTGCTTCTCCTTCATTCCTGTACATCCCTCAGGAGCCCACCAACAGTCAGCAAGGTCTTTCCATCAGCTTTTCCTATGGACCATGGTCAGGACCCCACTTCAGTAGCTGGGAAGTAATTGTTTGGCTTTTTCCTGCTTATCACCTGCTATCTTGTTTTATAGCTTTCCTTTTAGGTCCTAGGATTGTTCTTATTCAAAGGAAATGTGAAAGTGATGATTTTTAGAACAGGACATGGGCACAGTGGTAGAGCACTGTGTACTATGCACAAGATCCTGTTCGCCAGCTCGCGTAGGCCATATCATTCACACACACACACACACACACACACACACACGGGAGGGAAAGAGACAGACAGATGCAGAGACAGAGAGACAGAGAGAGACGGAGAGACAGAAAGAGATCCTATCATGTGGACTTGGTGCTCTCTATTCCTTTGCTAGTAGAAGAATGCTTCTTGCTGTGGAGCAGGAGAAAAGGAGATCTTCCTCATATGAAATATGAGCAGGATAAATTTCAAGCTCAATGCTTTGGACATTGTAAAGGCTGATACATTGTGTCAACTTGAGAAATTTATAAACTTAACTATATACCTCAGCAGTTCCACATCCTAAAGTGTAGAGGACAAGTCCCGGGGCAGCTATTTTATGCTCCAAGATGATGTAATGATCGATTCTTGCTGTCAACTGGAGAAGTTTAGAAGTTTAAGTAACTCGATGAGGGTCCAGTTTGTGCGAGAGGAGGGCACAGAGATGTTGTCAGTGACATACCCATTCTAGGTGAATAGCCTCCATAATATAAGGCAGAAAAAAGGCTTGTTCTTCCTTTTCCCTCTGGTCACTTTTGCTGTCTTCTGCCACCTTATCATGCCACCCTGCCTTGGAGCCAGCTAATTCTGGACTGAAACCTCTACAAACTGTAAGCTAAATAAATCTTTCCTATCTTAATTTGAAGCTGTTTGATATTTTGTCTCAGCAACTAGAAAAAAAGAACCAAGACAGAAGACCAACACAGACAGGATATCTGAAATACTGGGTCATAAATATTGGCAAAAGTGAAGGAAAATGCAATAGTCCTTGAATAGTTTGAAGTATCTTGCAAAGGGACCACAGCCACAGAAGAGTAAATAAGATTGTTTACAAGGTGGAGATATAGGGGGACTGATTTACAAGAGCTCTGAAAAGTGCAAATATCTCAGTGGGCTCCCTGGAGGCTGGAGTATCTTCATTGCATTAGGTATGACCAAAGTGTGACATGCATTTCCTTCTTACAGAGACTTTAAGTGGAGGAGCTGAGCAAAAGCAGCAGGTGAAGTCTTAGCAGTGAAATTCTATGGATCTGTAAATTCATCACTACCTCGCTGCAAAGTCAGCTCCCTTAAAAATGCCAAGCTGATTCCTTTCCCTTCTTACTCTGTGGAAACTTGTTTCTGTGCTGGCTTCAGCAGTCCCCTAATATTGCAAGGCAGAAGTGGTGAATGGTGTTATAACATTTGTGGGCCCAACCTTCTTTAGTATCACCACTATTTTTGGTTGAGGGGCAGAGGCTCTGCTTCTTCTGCAGGATACACAGCCACAGGGTTGCATACAAAGGCCAAGTTACCCAGATGACAGAGACCCAATTGCATCCTGATTGTTGTAGAAAACCTGGCTTCTTTGTTGGTAGGCAAGGTACAGTCTGTGTCCGTGATTTGGAAATGTGTGGTGGTGATGTCTCCTGAACCAGGCTAGTGGATGGCAATGGGTACACTGGGATGGTGGCACTAGGAAGAGCTGTCATGGCTCTGAAAGAAAGTCCTGTACCTGCTCAGTGACAGTCACAAGTGGGGAAGACCTGTGTTTTGCATTTCTTGTGAGATTCCACTGGCAAGTACTTGGAGAGGAGGCAACTAAGGCAAATATCTGGGTTTGGTCAGTAACTCCAAAGACCTGCTTGTGCTAGTGTTGGTAACCACAGGAACCAGCTGTAATTGGGTAGAAACAGGTGACCAAAGGTGAAAGCAGGAGCCATACTGAGTGAATGGCTGCAGCTGACATGTTAGATGAGTCGTAGGCACTTCCTGCTAAGGGAGCCACTTTGCTCTCCAGAGGAAGTGAGAGCTGCCAAGATCTGGAGGTTCCAAAAGATGACACATTGCCCATATTTTCTGTAGGAAGCAAGAGGGCCATGAAAACATGGGTGACACTGACAAATTTTCATTGTATTTCAGTACCAGGACTATCTATTCTAAGGGTCTCATAATTAGGAAACCTGTGATATCAGTATTTAGTGAGATGTGAGCAATCAAATATTTTAGGTAGACTTTAAGCACTGGGCTGGTTTGCAACTCTTCTCATTAACCCACCTTCCACCTGGCTCACCAAAGACCCTGCATGAGTGCAAAAGCCTTCTCCCTACTCTATGCTGCCCTCGAGTCTGCACCCACACTGGCTTACGACCCTAAGTGGTGAATTTGAAGCCTTTCACACATAGGAAACCCTTAAAAATTTTGTAACCTTACCAGTTATGAGGACACTGACATGAGAGAGGCCCCATGGGCTTGTTCAAGTTCTCCCATGGTTTACTATTGGGAGCAGCTTACTGAGACTAATTCCCCTTGTCAGAGCTTTGTGTGCTAAGCATAGGTCATAACCAGGAGGAAAGAAATTTTCACTTAGGCTTTTCTGTTACTCACTTGCCAGGTGAGAGTATGGTTGTTGCCATTTTTGTCTTAGGTGTCTCATTCAGCAGGTACAGAGCCCTCCCTGTCTCCCAGGAGTCATTTAATAATCCTGGATGGTTGGTGAATGGCAAGAGACATTCTTTCCCTTCTTCAAATATAGCTTTTAACTTAGTCACTGGTGACTACCTGAGGGTTAGTTTCTCAAAAACTGATTGTGGGAGACTAGGTGTGATGGCCCACACCTATAATCCTAGCAATTGGCAGCCCATGGCAGAAGGATCACTATGAGTTTGAGGCCAGCCTGAACTACATAGTAAATTCAAGGCCAGACTGAATAGCATAGTGAGATTTTTTACGAAAGAAAGAAAGAGAAAGGAAAGAAGGAAAAGAACAGAAAAAAAAAATTGATTTGGGGAAGACAAACTTTCTACGTTACTTATCTACAAAATGGTCATCCAAATAAGCTCAGTGACAGTTCGCCCATGAGTGCAATGGACATATTACAAGTGATTTGCTTAGACGAGATAAAAGAGGTCCTGGAAATGTAGAAAGTAAAATGAAGAGCTTATATAATCACAGAATGAAAAGGAAGATGCAGATGATAATGAAAACTGAGGTACAAACATGAAAGCACATTTCATTTACCAGATGTCTAGTAAGCATAAAGTAATAGTGAATTTAAGAAGAAATAAAGTGCTGTAGAGGTACAACATAAGGAAAGTGAACATGATTTACTCTGTAGTAGGGAACTCTATAAACCAAACACAGGCCACGCTGGACCATGATTTTTAATGCAGTTATCTGTAGCACCTTCCAGCAGAGAAAAAATTTCAGTGAAAAATGTGTGCAATTCTGAAATGGCAATAGACATTAACATGTTGGTAGTCATAACTTTTGTATTGCAATGTTTTAGTTACTCTCATTGCTGAGACAAATACCTGACATGCAAAGCTAAAGAGAGGAAAAGTTTATTTAGCTCTCAGTTCATAAAGATTTCAGTCCATAATTGGCTGTCTCCATGGCTCGTGGCAGAGGGGCAGCAGTTCATGGTGGCAGAAGACAGCAAAAGCAACAAGAGAAGGAGAGAGGAAAAATCCCTCTTTGTACTTTATATTATATGTAGACTCCCTAGCCTAGGGCAGGCATAGCACTCACACCCTTAATCCCAGTGCCTTTAATCCTTTCATCTTAATCCCAGCATTATACTGTGAATCAGTCACACTATAGATTCAGCTAACTCCAAAAAGCCCCATCTAAAAGTACACAATGCTTTGGTAGGATATCTAGACACAAACTATAACCTCAGCTTTTTAAAAATTCTATGTCTTTTTTTTTTTAATGTAAGATAAGGTCTCACTAACTTGTATTACCAAGACACTGCTTATAAATATAAAACAAAGCACGCAAATGCAAATCACAAAATTGGCTTACATGGCTGAAGGCTTGGTGGTGGAAGCCAGAGTCTACTCTACAAGCCTGGAGGTGACCTGAAGGCTTGGTGGTGGAAGCCAGAGTCTACTCTACAAGCCTGGAGGTGACCTGAAGGCTTGGTGGTGGAAGCCAGAGTCTACTCTACAAGCCTGGAGGTGACGTCCAAGATGGTGAAGATGAACCCCTGGAAGAAACACTCTGCTTCCTCATTTCCCCTTTATACCATCCAGGCTGAGTGTTGCCCTAAGGTGGGTCTTCTACACCTCGGAGTAGAGTTGCTGAGCCAATTTACACTTCTAAGCCTCTCAAATCCACACAATCCATCAATCATTACATAGCTTTCAACAGAGACTTTCTGAGCACTCCAAGGCAGTGGTTTTTCTCAAGCCCAAGGAGTGAATCAGTTCATTTTCAAAACGATTTAGTTTACAAAACAGTGTGAAAAAAAAAAAAAAAACCACTGATGATTGTTTCCCTGGCCTGACAACTTTTGAATATCTTGTAACAATCATGTATGAAATACATTTCTAAAATGTTCACATTCAAAAATTATCAAGTGCCATCAGTGCTGCAAGAAGCAACCAGTGGAACCTGACATACACCTTCACAGCCAATACACTATTCCACTCATTTAAAATGTCATTTCCCTATATGTTAAATATCTATATGCCTTTGCAGTAGTTTTTCAGAATTTTCCAGGCCTTTGAAGCTTTCAAAAATCCCTTTCTCTGTACTTCTTTTCATCAACTTCTAGATCCATCCCACAGAGAAATCTATGTAGAGAAATCCATCTCCCAGAGAAAGTTGACCACCTGGAAAAAAGATTTTACCAGTGGATTTTCTCACCAGAATCCAGCTGCACACTCATTAGCAGCTCTACCATGATTCACTTTATTCCAGCTTCAACAGAACACAGGGGAAAGATGACTCCTCAAATCTAGGGACTGGCTAACCAGTGGATCAAAGCAAAGGTAACCTCTAACAAGGTGGGCTGGCTGCAAAGGCCTCTTCCTTGTGCCATTTGCCCCTCCCTAACTCTGCTGCTAAGCCCTTGTGATCTCTTCTGTGACCTTGCTAAATTCAAATCTTATTTATTCCTCCTTTCCTCAGTTCTTATACTGTATGCCCATGTTCTGTGATCCAACTGTTAAGTTCCTTCTTCCTAATGCATTTGATCCACACCTTTATGAAAGAACTCACAAAAAACAGCAACTCAGAACTCAAATGGATGCTTTATTTACTATGTATCACTTCTACTGTACTCCTCCCTTGAACAGTATGTGGTTATGTTAACCTTCAATAGTACATCAGAATCATTAAGTGTCTATTTATCTCTCTACATATCTATGTGGGTAAGCGCTTGGTAGCCAAGACAATCAGACAGTGCTGTTGCCTCTTATCTTGAGTAGCCATAGTATTGAGCAACTTCCCTGTCTGCCTCTCTCTGCCTGAAAAACTGCAGTTTCCCTAAGGAGGTGCATTTGGCTGCCAGCTCCCGCTCTTGCTGAGCCTGCCTCTTCATGGCCTCGCGCTCTGGCCTCTGTTCTTCTGTAATGGGGCTGGACTTAACAGGCTCAGGCACGTTGGGTTCCCTCCAGGGAATCGGTTGGCGACTAAAATCTTGCAGGAAAAATGGGTTTTGCAGCTGAGGTGGGGCCCTGCATTTGGTCTCAGCAGAGGCAACAAGCTTGCTTTTGAGAGAGGCAGGTGGTAGTGTTTCCTGGCATGCAGCCTTAGATAATGCAGACTGAGAAAGTCCAGGTTGTTTTGAGATGGTCCAATGTGGCTGATTAGCATTTTCCAGGACTGGCCTAGCTGGTTTGAAAGGACCCATCAGAGAGGTGTTGCCAGCTGCTGTTTGGGATGGCTGAGCTGTGTTGGAAGCAACAGGGTGGACAGGGAAAGCTACAGCGGGTCTCCTTGAGACTAAAGCCTGTGGCCTTCTAGAAATAGGTTTTACCTGAGGCTTTTCTGAGCTGGGAAAGTGCAAAGGTATTAACCTCACCTGCCCAGGTGGTGGGAGCTCACTCAGGGATGCAGATGACTCCTCTGCCTGGGTGCTGCTGTGCTGGTTCCTAGCACTCTCAGGCCCCTTCCCCTCATGTGGGGCCCCCTGCCATGGTTTGGCCGCTGGTGATTTCTTGGAGTCTTTGGTGGAATTCAGTGTTCCCCGTGCCCAGGAGGGAAAGGGCCCTGCTGTCTTATCTCTCTTCCTCCCTAAGGGATAGAAAACCTGCACAGACTCCAGCATATGCATACCTAGGCAGGTTCGAGGTACTTTAAAGACATCTTGGCCAAGTGCAGGTTGGCGTCTTTTGCGCTTCGAGTTGGAAATGTTTGGCCTTTCCTCTTCCTTGAGTTTGAGCCCCAACTGCTTCCTCTCTGGCATTTTCTTACTTTTGTTTTCTCTTGTTCTCTTGGTCCTAGTTTTCCCACCTCCATTAGCTTGATTGGTCCTGCCAAATGCTACACTCAGGGGTTTGTTGTTCTTCAGCTCAGCCATGTCCATGGAAGTCCTATCCCTGGTGTCTTCACTGCAAATGAGCTCTTCTCCCTTTAACAGGCCCTCAGGGGTCTTCAGTTGGACTTTCCCTGCAGGAGCTTCAGTGATTAGGCTGGAGGCTTTATGTTTGTTCTTCCTCACTTGAGGTGAAGGACGCTTTGTGATACCTGAGTTCTCTTGCATGTTTTTCACCTTGTTTACTCCAGTTTCTTGGGCTTCAATGACTATGGGGTGGTTGCACTGGTCAAAGTCATCCAAAGAATGGACTATCTGGGGGAGATGAATGTTCTCCACCAAGACTGCAACATCTGCCCACCCCGGACTACACTCACTTTCCTCATCAAGATTCCCTCTGTCCTGGTGATTTAGGTGGCACTTGCCCCAGAGGACATCCCCAGAACCAGTGTTTTCTTGTATTGGAGGCTGAACAGAGCTGGTCAGTTTGAGAGGGTCCTGGATCACTAATGAGGGCTTAGGAAGATCTTGATTGCCTACCAAGATCTGGTGGACATCTAGAAGCATTGAAAGCTTGCTTCTCACCTCATCGCAGCTCTTCTCTGGTTGTTCCTGGCTTGTATCCAAGGCCAAGAGTTGAGTGGAAGTCTGCAAAGGATCTCTTCTTGAAATGTCTCCAACCTCAGCTGAAGGGCTTCTCTTGAGAACAGCAGCACTTCTGATACTGCAGGACTCGAGGAATTCCAGGGGTCCTGGCACATATGGTGCCTGGCTTGGGGCTTGCCAGTGCAGGGATGTCTGTATTTCTGGGGAAGTTTTATTCACTGAAAAAGAATCAAGGAAAACATCAATCCCTGCTGAATGAGTTGCTCCTCTTTACTCTAGCTCAACGTTCGATAAACAATCAACAGAGCCTTTTCATCAGCTCTTCTTAATAATCATAGTCAAGACCTTATTTCAGGAGCTAGGAGGTAATTGTTCTGCTTTTTTTCCACTTATTACCTGATGTCTTTGCTTCATGGCTTTCCTTTTAGTTCCTGGAATTGTTCATAGTCAAAGAAAACTAACAGTGCTTTTTAGAATAAGGCATGGTTTGGGCACAGTGGTAGAGCACTGTGTACTACACTCAAGGCCCTGTTCTCTGTTCCATGTACAACATTCTCTCTACAAAACACACACACACACACACACACACACACACACAAACAGGTGTGCAAGCACTCATACATATATGCTCTCACAGAGAGAGTTCTTCAAGTGTAGAGTCCTGTTGGTTCCACTCTGTGTGGTCTACTCTCTAGCTGACCCAAGAATACTTTTTGCCATGAATGAAGTAGGAGATACAGGAGATTTTCCTCATGTAAAATGCAACAGGATAGATATTGATGCGTGTGCTTTGGACAGGATCTCTGAAACACAGGTTCACAAATCCTGGTGAAAATGGAGGAAGATGACACCTGTCTTTGCCACTGTATGTTTTGAAGTGTTCTCTAAACAGATCACAGCAATAAAAGAATGAAGAAAATTGCTTTTGGAGGAAAAGTAAAGGGAAAACTCATCCACAAAAGCTCTGAAAAGTGTGGTCTGTCTCTTAAGGGGCTCATGAGGGTCTCTTCAGTGTAGCAGGGATGGCTATTATGTTGTTGTACATTCCCTATTTATTGAACCTGGAAGTGGAGTGACCTGAGCTAAGGTAGTTGGCAAAATTTCAGGGTTGAAATTTCACCTCTCTGCATTCATGAGCACCCAGATGAAGATTCGACCCTCCCCATAATGCTGACTTTATTCCTTTCCCTTCCTGCTCTTGGTACCCACCTTAGAAATTTGTTGGTTGCCATATTTGCTTGAGCAGTTTCTGACTATAGATGGCAGAAGTGAAGATGTGCTATGATATTGTGAGCTATACTTCCTTTAGTACTATCATTATTTCTGGTTGAAGGACACAGGCCCTGCTCCCTATGCAGGACCCACAGTCATATATTTGCATGCAGGGTTCAAGCTCTCCAGACAGGGGAGGCTCCACTGCACCCCAGTTGTAATAATAACTATGCCTCTGATTTTCAATGTGGTGGTGGTGTCCCCTGAATCAGGCTGGTCAAAGATTGGAGATACCAAGATAATAACTTTGGGATCAACTGTCATGCTGGGTCCTGGTCAGTGACAGTCACTGCAAAAGGCTCAAAGAACAGATAACTGTTTTCAGAGCTTCACTTAGATCTTACTGCCAAATACCTGGAGATGACGGGGCTGAAATGTATATCTGGCTCTGGCCAGTAGCCCCAAACCTATTTGTACTACAGTGTTGCTACAGATAGGCTGTCACAGTGACTGCTCAGAAGTAGGTGACAGAAACTGAGGGAAGGAGTCATATAGAATGCAGAGCTGAAGCTCACAGTCTGGAAGAGTTGAAGATGTCCTGCTTAGGAACCAGGTTGGCTCACAGGATAATGTGAGAGCAGCTGGGGACTGGAACTTCCAAAAATGACAGATTGAGGACATTTTCTGTGGGAAGCCAGATGTGGTGGCACATGCTTATAATGCCAACACTTTAGAGGCTGAGGTAGGACAATTGCCATGAGCTCAAAGCCAGCCTAAACTGCATAGTGAGACCCTGTCTCAAACAAACAAACACAACAAAAAAGGACAACAAAATGGATGAGATTGACAAATTCTTACTCTATTTAACCAGCAAGATTATGTATCCTAAGGTTCTTGTAATCAAAATGTTTGTGACACCAGTATTCAGTGAGATGCCAGCGAAGACTTTCAGGTGGCCTTTCAGTACTTGAGTGGTTTAGAACTCTTTGCATGAACTGCCTGTTTCCCACCATGCTCACCAAAGATCCAAGGGGTCTCATTCATACATTCAGCCTTTTTCTTCTCTGTGCTTTGAGCCTCTACTCAGTCTGACTCATGAACCTGAGTGGTGGATGTTAAATCTTTCAGACCTAGGAGATCCTTAGAGAAATTATAACCTTATCAGTTGTAAATGCGGCCTGTGACATGAGAGAGGCCCCATGGACTTGTCCACATTCTCCAAAGGCTTACTACTGGGGGCAGGTTACAGAGCCTGACTCCCCTGTCAGAGTTCAGTGTGCTGAGCACAGGCCAGAAAGGAGGAGGAAAGAAACTGTTTACCCAGGTATTTTTCTTACTCACTTGATAGGAGACAATACAGCTCTTGTTGTTCAATGTCTCATTCTGCAGGTGCAGGGCCCTCCCTGTCTCCAGGGGTTTATTTATAACCCGAGGTGGATGTTAAATTGCAGGGATCATTCTTTGCCTTCTCCAAGTCTACCTTCTACTCCTAAGTCACTGACTACCCAAGGGTTGGTTTCTCAAGAAGTGTCTTAGGGAAGAAAAATATCCTTTTAAGTTTCTGGCCTCTAAGTTACTCATCTCAAGGTGGTCATCCAAATAAGCAGAGTGGCAGTTCACTCATGAGTGGAAGGGACATAGTACACAGGATTTGCATAGATGGAAATAGTAGAGGTGCTGGAAATGTAGAAAGTAAAATGAGGAACTACAGCAGCACAGAATGAAAAGGCAGATGCAGATGATAATGAAAAGTGAGGTACAAACAGCAAGCACATTTCTTTACCACTTGTCTAGCAAGCATGAAAGAACAGTGAATTTAGGAAGAAACGAAGTGCTGTAGAGGTGCAACATCAGGAAAGTGAACATGATTTACTCTGTAGTAGGGAACTCAATAAACCAAAAACAGACCACAGACAGTGATTTTTAATGCAGTTCTCCCAAATCCACGTAGTCAGAGAAAAGATGTCAGGGTGAGTTGTGTAAAATGCCTGAAATGGCAATAAATGTGAACATGTTGGTAGCCATAAATTCTGTATTGTAATAAAACCTGATACTGAATGTGGGCATGGTGGTGTGTGTCTGTAGTTCAGGAGGTTGAGGTAGGATCATTCCTTCAACCCAGAATTTGGAAGTCAGACTGGACAACCTAGTCAGACCCCATCTCAAAGAGAAACAAAAACAAAACAGAAATGAAAGAAGGCAAAAACAACTGCACAGCTCAGTATGCAAAGTAAGTGTAAAGGAATTCAGTTATTGTGCTCATTCCTATTTGTTTTGAATATCATCATCAACCGTGGAATAATGCTCATCCCTTGAGAGAGGTTTTACACTTGATATCATCACATAGCAAGCTGCGGAAGAAACACTGAAGCAGAAATGAAGTTTTTCATTTCTCCTCCCAACCTAGCAAATAATCATCTTAAACATTTGGGAATATACGTCCCTCCTAAAGCCTAACAAATCCATCACTGTTAGAACATAATGAAAGTGATATTTTTTTTTCCTTTCTGCTCAGTATTTTTGTTTTTTTTTTTTAAATCTTCCTACATGTTACTTAGTTAGTGGTATAGTAAATATGGTTATCTCTTCTTTTTAAATTTTTTTTTTGTCTGTTTGTCTTGCAGTATTGGCTAAGGAACCCAGCAGCACTGTTCTACTGGCCTCCATTTCCAGTCTCTCTCTCTCTCTCTCTCTCTCTCTCTCTCTCTCTCTCTCTCTCTCTCTCTCTCTCTGTTGGTTAGGCTTGGAAAGGGCCTCACTATTTAGCCAGGCTGACCTTCAACTTGTGAGCCTCCTTCCTCAGTCTCCCATGTAACTTTGACCACAAAGGTTAAAATAATTCTTTTAATGGTAGAAAATCTCACAGGAGCTCCCAAATTTGCTTTAGATAAATGCAATATGAGAGATTTGAAGTTTGACATTGTCTTTTTATATGTGGGCAGACATTTCTTTTGATTCTTGGTGTCAAACCAGTTCATGAGTGTATATATGTTAACAAAGATGTTGCTACCAAATACCAAACATACAGTCTGTTTTATGAAGAAAAGTGTCACAAAGATAACTAATAGCTTTTGCCTGAAACTTACTGAGCACTCACAGGCAGTGGCTTTTCTGACACACAAAGAGTGAGAAACATCATTTAAAAAAAAAAACATTTAGTTTAAAAATCAATGTAAAATAGAGTACTGAAAACTGTTTCCCTGGCCCTCTGGATGATGACAATTTTAGCACATATGTAGAAAGAATCTTGTGTGAAACATCTGAAATGTTTTTATCCAAGAACTATCAGGTGGCAATCCTGTTGAAAGAAGTTGTAGGAATAAAAGAGCCAAAAAGTGTGACATTTATGACAAGATGCTTTCTCCAGGGGAAGCCCTATGGTAGTTTCCTTCTGAGACCACTAAAGGAAACATTTGCCTTACCAGCTTCATTTTGCCCTTGTCTGATATTTGGCTGTGTTATTTCTGTGGCCACTTCATGTCTTTGGTTGTCATCAAGATTGCTTCCCAACCTATCACTTTCTTTACTGGACAATGTCTCTGTGACCTCCATCACTTTTCTTTTTTGTTGTTTTCTCATCTCTCATTCTATATATTTTCTTCTTTGTCTCTCACTGATCTAGGCAGTTTGCTTTTACCTGGGCTTCATGGAAACCCTTCCAATTGTTCTCCCCTTTGAGTATCTGCCTGGGTACATCTCAGATCATGGCCCTGGTGTCCCCGTCTGTTTTTTCACCAAGTTCAGACAGAAATCTCTGTAACATGTGAATAGGCCACTTTGAAGGGCACCACAGTGGAAGTGGAAATACTGTAGTAGGGAGACTATCAGTGATGAAACATTTTGGCATACAGTTGCTGTTTTCTATTCCATCTAGATTATTTTTCTCATTTATGTGGGACCAAATGCACTTACGAAATCTATTTCTAGAAATAGATTCTCTGTTTTCATGGCCTTTAACACCAGTGTTAGAATAGGAAGGGAAACAGCACAAGCAATCATTCAATCTCAAGGAACAAATGGGGAAACAGTTTTGTGAGAGAGTAAACCATCTGTCCAAGTTATATCCCTGTAAAAGGTTCAAGCCATGAGTGAAAGTAAGTCTCTAGATTTCTAGTTCAAGATTTTCTGTGGTTCCAGGACTCTGGAGGCTGAGGCAGGTGTTTGATCTCCACTAGAAAACTGACTTGGGAACGGAAGGAATATGTAACACCAAAGACCTTTGAATTTAACTGGCCTTACCTGACATGGTCAGAGAAGGAGCTACAATAATTGTAGATAACAAGGATGAAGAGACATTCCTGGAGGATGTCTGGGAGGCTGAGGCTGAAGCAAACAAGTGTTCAGGAGGGACAGCGCTGGTGGTGGTTCACTGGGATGGCTTCACTTCAGACAACTCCACAGAAGCCTCAAGATTCTCCCAAGGAGTGGTAAGTTTGGTGGTTGGATGATGTCACAAAGCAGGCAGTTGAGAGCTCTGAGATAGCCAATAGGAAGGCCAGATTCACAACTGGAAGATGAGATTGGGTGCACAGGCCACAGGATACTCAGAATACTATAGTACATACAAGATTAAGGGAGCTCTAGGGTAGATAGACGTGAGTATACCACTTACCCCAGCATACCTATCTTAGAGAGAACACCAAACTGTTTCTTTTAAATTGTCTTTAATAAAATTATTTTATTACATATATTATGTTTCATACAACAATGACTAATATTCTCTCAATAACTGTGTGGAGTTAAAATCCTTGGGGAAGAGGGAAAGAGACTCCTAGATGGAACACACTGTTCTGAAAGCATCTTGGGCCATGTGATTACTGAACTTACTACAGCTTTCATAGACCAGAGGAAGGGACTAGAGCACTGCTTGAGGTACCTGGTTGAAGAGGAGGGTGAAAGTCCATTGAGTGCATCTTGTAGGGAATGATGTGGTCCAAGGCTCTTTTTGAGCTGGACTGAGCCACACCAAGTAGACTCGCATCTCTGTCCTGCTCTCAGTCTCTCATCTGCTTCACTGTAGAGCTTTTTCCTTGTGTAAGTCTTCATTTTGCTTTCCTACACTCAGAGGTGTTATTTCCTATTAGCTGCCACAAAGGATATGTGAATGTGTACGTAGTTATGTATGTTGTGATAGTTAACTGATTGTGCCCTCTTGAGTGAGAAACACCTAACTAAATTGGATTGGCATAGTTCTGTTGTGGCTGAAGGGGTTTACTTAAGGATGATCCACCCTGGGTAGCCTTGTGGGCTGAATGGAACAAAAGAGAAGTGAAGAAGGAAAGCTTGGCTCTGTGTCTTCAGAGGGGCTCCAGGATTTGCCTTCAACTTCAAAGCCTTGGACTCATCTCTTGGGTTTCAGTGCAGACCCTTCAGCCTCCAGATACAGACTTGCACGGTACTCAACAATGGAGGCCTTCAAACTTTGACTATATTCTTTATATCTCCAGTGCACAGACAACACTTTTGCACTCTTCCATATCTGATTTATAGGTGGTTATTATAAGTTTACCTTGCAAATCTTTCTATGTTTATATATCCTGTATAAAATCAGTTTCTCTAGTGAATGCTGGTGAGTTCATATGTACTAATTTATTTGTATTTTATTAGTATATGTTTTCAGTGTATAATGTTTGCATCCCCAATGAGCAGTTGGTACATGTACAGAGAACATATTCATTACCTTCTTCCCTCTTCTACCTCTGCTATCTTTCCATCTCTTGTTCCCTCCCCGTTAGTGTCCCAGTTCCTTCTTCACTGACCTTTCGGTACTCACCCTATTCTTGCTCCAAGCTAATGTATTTCCCACCACCATTGTTGGTCAGTGTCAGGTTATCCACACCTATCTTCTATCAAGATCATCATCTCAACCCTCCCCAGGTATGTGGAACATCTTCTTTACTTGTCTGCTTTGTGGGGTGAGAGTCAGTGGTATGACTCCGACTAGGTATCACACAGATACTAACTGTTTTGGTCACTTGACTCTTGTTGCTGAGACAAAATACCCAGTGCCCAAAATTTAGGAAGGAAAGATTTATTTAGCTCACAGTTTGTAGAGGTTTCAGTCCATAATCAGCTTGTTTCAAGACAGGGTGGCATGGCCGAGGAGCAACAGTTCATGGCAGCTATAAGACTACAAAAGCAGCAAGAGCAAAAAGGAAGAAACAAGACAGAAAGCCTCTTTCCTTCTCTTATACTGTTTGTGGGCTACTTGTCCCAGGGTAGGTGTAGCGCTCACACCCATAATGCCAGCATTGGACCATCAGTCAGTCACAAACTGTAGAAGCCCACTCTTATAACTCCATGAAGCACTGAGAAGACATCTAAACACAAACCATAACATTCCTCCTCTGGTGCCCCAAAGACTGTTGCACATCCTTTTATGCAAAAGGAATTTTAATCCATATCTTAAGAGTTGCCAAAGTTCTAACAGTTTCAGCAATGTTGAAAAGTCCAAGTCTCAAATCTCTTCTAATATCTAAGGTAAACTTTTAGCTGTGAGCCCTTATACAAAGGAAAAGTTAAACACTTCCAATATTCAATTGTGTAAGATAAAGATTATCATTCTAAAAGATATCTAACAAGTCAATCAAAGTATTGGATAAAAAAACAAGTCTAAAATCCAGCAGGGCAAATATTAAGTCTTGTAGTTTCTTGTGCAGCATCCAATGCAATCTGTGGCAAGTTGTAAGCTCCAAAAGGCTTGGGTGGCTCCACCTTTATGGTTTTTCTGATTGTAACTCCCATGGCTTCTCTCTTGCACTGTCTTTGCTCCATCCTTGCAGGTTTCCTCAGATGATTCCCAGTTTCAGGCTTTTCTAAACTTCTGGGATCTCCACTGTACTTTTGGTTTCTTCTTCACAACTTCACACACTGCTGTCTCAGGGGGACATTACCTGGCCGCCCCCTAGGCCTCCTTGTGAAATCTGGACAGATGCCTTTTAAGTCTGAGAATTCTTGCGTTGTGCAGGCATCTACAACCAGTGTCACATGGATGATGCCAATGTCTGCTGCCAGGTGGAGCAATAATCAGGCTTTCCTCTCTCTTGGTTATAGGGCCCGAGTCCCCAAATTACTTAGCATTCTTTTTGAATTCTGTTTGGGGAATAAACTTTCTATGCTGCCACCATTCTGAAACATAGCACTCTGTGACTTTCTCCTCAAAGTCAAGTCTTTCACTTTTGCAGTTTTGAGGTTGCAAAGGGTGCTTCTTGTGCTGCTCTTAGTCCATCTTTCCTATTCTCTGGTTCCTTATCAGCAATGGAGATCTCCTCCACTGTATCTTTGCAGTCCACAGCTTTACTGGAGCTTCCATTCTGATCAGACTCACAACACTTTAAAATCTTCCTGCTGGGCTGCTTTCCCTTGATTCTCAATGTAAATCTGGCTAAAAATCAATAACAGCCATACCACCACCTCAGCATTCGACTGCCTTGAATTTTTTTCTTCCAGTTTAGTCTGTCACCCTTATTTTTCAGGCAAAGTCTCCAGACATGAGCAAAATGTAAACAAATTTTCTGCCAAGCTGTAACACACATTATCTAGAGTGCAACAACCAGTGTATTGCTTCTTTCCAGTAGAAACCTGTCAAGCCTGGACCTTATTGGCAGATTTATATCAATCTTCTGCTCTTCTGAGCTCTGAGCAGTACCGAACATCCTAAGGCACTGCAGCTCTACTATTTCAAGTGACATTTCTGAAACTTTCCAAAGCCTTCCCACAATCTATTCCCAAAGGCTTTTGAACCACATAGTCAGGTATAGTCATAGCAATGATCCCACTCCTCTGGTACCAAATTTAGTCTTGGCTACTTTCCTCTCCTTGCTGAGACAAAATACCCAATGCCCAAAATTTAGGAAGGAAAGATTTATTTAGCTCACAGTTTGTAGAGGTTTCAGTCCATAGTCATCTGGCTCCAAGACACAGTGGCTCATGGCAGAGAAGCAACAGTTCTTGGCAGCCAGAAGACAGCAAAAGCCGCAAGAGCAAAAAAGGTACAAGACAGAAAATCTCTTTCCTTTATAGTATATGCAGGCCAGCTGCCCCAGTGCAGGTGTAGCACTCATACCAATAATACCATAACAATTCTGCTCAACTCTGAGCAGATATTTGCTATTCTTAGTTTAATTCAAAGTGACTTCAGAGCCATTGGCCAACCAAGAATAAACAGGAATGCATGGCTATTACTTTACCAGCAACCACTACAAATGAACCAGGGGCCTCAAGATCTGAAGACATGCCTCTAGTCTTAGTTCACCATACTTCTAGCAGGTTGAAATTGGAATGTCTTACTGACTGTGTAAATCTACTTTTTCTGATAAACAGTAATAATATTTGAGAAGCCAATGAGACGGTCTATGTAGAAACAGTCCTCAAAATGTTGGGGCTGGGGATTTAGCTCAGCGACATAAGTACCTGCCTTGCAAGCAGGCAGTCGTGAGTTCAATCCCCGGTACTGATAAAAAACAAAAAGACAAAAAAAAAATGACCAGAAATGAGCATGTCTTTGTGCTGGACAGGCTGATATCAAGGAGAAGACAGGCTGCAGCTACCTACCTACTCACACACCCACAGGGCTCCAGGCAACCTGGCAGCAGGCATGACCTGTAAGTTTCTGCAACAGATCAGCTCAATAGCAGACTTCCTGAAAGTGCTTTCTCAACTGCCCACTGGGGTTCAAGGGAGTCTGGTGGGGTGGTGCTTATTCATGAATGGGAGAAGGGAGGCTGGGACCCAGGGTACAGAACCCTATGTGCCTGCTCAGCTTGGTCCTGACCTTCTTTACTGCCCTGTCCCTACAGAGAGCTGCATTAGGGAGAACTACGGTAGAGGATGACAGAGCCAGAACTGACCACCCTGGGACCCAGACTGAGAGGGCTTGACACCAGACTACTTCTGGATTTACAGTAAATGCTGTAGATGATTGATCCTCATTAAGCTCAACTGAGAGTAAACCCTCCCTTAGGAAATACCCAACAGAGGCATTTCTGTGTCTAGGGGTTCCTGGACATCATTCATAGTTCAAAGCAGGGGTTTCTATTCAAATGATCCCACCATGGGACAGCACAGGGTGGTGACACTACTGTGGTCTGCCAGGTAATCTTAATATAACTCAGACCATATTCATGGAGTATGAAATGAGAGAGGTAATGGTCCAATTCTGCCTTAGAGGATTTTAGTCTGCTTAGAGCACTGTGTTCAGTAGAATGGATAAAGAGAAAATTGTGAAATATGTGATAAATGCATTCAGATCGCTGAGGGGCTATGAAGTAAAAATTATAAATGGTTCCATGGGATAAGACTAGGATTAATGAGTTAAACTCAGATTTTTTCATGGTATAAGGAAAATGGAGGTAGTGAGTTCATGATGATTGTCACTCTCCAAGCCTAAGCTGAATCCCACAAACCTGGAATATTGTAGAGCAGATTCAAGTATGGACTGGGGAGAGAAAAGGTCTAAGACTTCTTCAACCCAGAGAGTCTAGGAGTTCATGTGTCTCACTCATGTGCCTCTTTTCTCACTTATAACCCTCCCCCTCATTCCATTTGAGTCACAAGTCAGAGGTGGACAAGGCTGGGGTTGCAGTCTTCTGGGGGATTTGGAGATGGTAGAAGCAGATCACTCCATCCTTACGTTTTTATAGGCCTTTGCACAGATTTTGGCTCTTGTGCAGTTTGGCCCAGTTCCAGAATTGACAACCCTGTATAGACTGCATGGTGTCAGACTTGTGGGCCAAAGCCCTTTTTTTTTTTTTCCTAATGCCATTCAAATCCATTTAAATATTCTAGTTCCCTGAGATAATTTAGAGAAATCAAGTGGTCAAAGTAAAGGAAAAGATCCTAGGCCAAAACACAAATTCTTCTTTTGTGAAAGAGGCATAATTTTAATGATACTTGTATGTGGAACTTGTCAGTCCATTAGATCAGGATTGCTTATTATTTCTTTTCAGAACACTAGAAATGTGTCACTCTCTTTGTTATCTTCCTTCAAACGTAGTGATAAGTAGCTCAGAGCTGTTTAATATCAATGCCAGCCCAGGGTCACAGCGCTTGATCTTGTGTTACATCTTGTCAGGGGAATGTGAGGTTCTGAGGGCTATTCTCAACTTGGCTGAGTTGTGACTGAGTGTCCCTGCTGTCCAATTACTGTACCAGGATCCCGCTGATGGACAGACTGTCCAATGAACCCATTATGTTGGTGGTAGAGCTGGTACAAGGAGCTCCAGAGCAGCTGCTGGCACTGACCCGTGTCCACCAGGTAGCGCTGGCAGAGAGGGCACTGCAGAACCTGGTAAGAGCCCACCCTGCTGGACTCACAGCTGCTGCCCTTGGCAGTGCATGACCCTCGGACAGGGATCTTTGCCTGTCTCCCAGGCCCAAGCCCTTTCTTGCTGACAAACATGTTTCCTACCTATAAGGGCCTCTAGCCTCTAGATCTGCCTCTGGATTCTGTTCCTCAATAATGTGCTCTCTTGTTCTTGTCCAGGTAGCTTAGGGTCCAAAAAAGACCTTGGATCCTACCTCTTAGTCTTTCTGCCTTGCTTCTATCACTGTTCATTCACTGTTTAAGAAAGTGAACAAATATAGTGAGCGTCCTAGGTTGTTAAGTTGGGGGAGGGAGGGAGGCAAGGTCAAGGTACTTCGTGTCTTGATTAAAGAGCCTATTACTCTGAGTCAGAGGTACATTGTCTAAGACCTGATGCCCCTCTTCAGGTGCCAAAGGAGACCCCGATCTCAGAGGAAGTGCTGGAAACACTGGGCCCCTTGGTTGGATTTCTGGGTACAGACAGCACACGACGGATCCCTCTACCGATCCTGCTGTCCCATCTCATTCAGCTGCAGGGCTTCTGCCTGGGAGAAACATTTGCCGCAGAGCTGGGACGGCTGCTGCTGCAGGAGCCTGCTCTTGGGTATGGACCTTTGGGAACTTCAGATTCTAACTTTTCCTATACCCAGTCCCTGGACTGCCCCCTTCCATGGCTTAATGTCCCTGGGAGCCTGAATCCCCACCTCTGCTCTGTTCTCTTCTTCTCAAGGTTCCCTCAGCTCCCAGCATATGATCATCTTCCTGTCCTTTAGGAAACCAGAACTGTGGAGCCAGGAAGAAGTAGAGCAAGCTGGACGCCTAGTATTTACTCTGTCTGCTGAGGCTATTTCCTTGATTCCCAGGGTAAGATGGAGGGAGTAAATGCACAGGGGATCAATGAATCCCAGGCCGAGGAGGACACGGGAAATACAACCTGGGTCTGGGGAAGACTGCTAAACACAGGCAGGTTTTGGAACTACAGCTGCAGCAGCTGGCCCTGCCCTATTCAGATCTCTCCCCAACCTTCTACTTTCTTATGCAGGAGGCTTTGAGCCCAGAGACCCTGGAACGGCTTCTAGAAAAGCAGCAGAGCTGGGAGCAGAGCAGAGTTGGAAAGCTGTGTTGGAGACCACAGCTTGCTGCCAAGAAAGCAGCCCTGGTAGCAGGGGTTGTTCGGCCAGCTGCTGAGGATCTTCCAGGTGAGGCTACCTAAATGCTCATATATTCCGCAGAGTGTACAGAGGATATTATCAAACAATGCTGCTGAAAGTTTGCGCTCTAGGCCAGGGATGTAGCTCAGTGGAAGAGTGCTTGTTTAGCATGGAAGAAGCCCTTAATTTGAATCCCAGCACTAGAGAAAAAGAGTTCAGATTCTGTAAGTGTGCTATGCCATTGTGTACAACTTATAAATCTTCTGTTTTATTTAACTTAAGAGTATGGTTTCAAGGTACATCCATTTAAGAAATGTCTCAAGTTTATCCTTCTTTGTGTCTGAGTAGTAATCCATTGTATGTTTTTTTAAAGACACATCATTTTTATCCATTCCTTGGGCATTTGGGTTGTTTCCACAATTTAGAAATTGTGTTGAAGAAATTGGGTTGTTTCCACAAATTACAAACTGTGCTGCTATAAACATGGGTGCACACATTTATCATTGTTCTATGATATTTTTAATTTTTCCAGGAAGATACCCAGAAGGAGGATAGCTGGGTCAAATGAGAGCTCTAATCCTAGTTTGTTGAGGAATCTCCAGATATTGTGCAATAGGAAGAAACTGTTCAGAAGAAAGGAGGACCTAGGGATGGGTAAGGGGAATAGGGAAAAGAAAAATATGATTAAAAAAAGATAAAATGGAAGTAAAACTTTGTAACTAGGGAGGGGAAGAGGGATTAAAGTGAGAGGAGAGGATTAGGAAAAAAGAGAAATCAAAATATATCATGTACAGGTACAAATTCCCTGTGATGAATGTGATCTTTATATATATCTAAACTGTACCAATAAACTTAATGTAAAATAAAAATGAATACAAGTACATAAATACTTTCTGCTTTCTTCGGGGATAATTGTCCAGGTTTCTTCTAGTTCTAGGGTTCTGTACTTCTGGGAGTTAGTTCTTTCAGTCTATTTTCCTGTTCTCTTATCCGGGGACAGCTGTAGGTTAGCTAAGCATGAGGCTCTCTGCTGGGAAGATCCTGAGAAGGAAGGAGACATTGTGAAGCTAGAAACCTGGGTTGTAACTCAGCTGTGCCATTAAATACATGAGCATCCTCCTCAGTCTTCCACCTATGCAATGAGATCCTTTTGTTTTCCATTCCCTTCTTGTTCTCACACCCCCTAAGCTCTATTAATACCACTGTAATCATTCCTTGACCCATGCTGCTTACACTTCTCTATCCTCCAAAGGTAGGGAGGGTCATTCCACCTCCAGATAAGCCTCCAGGCATATTTTGATACTAAACCAATCCCTGAGCCTGCTTTCCCCCTGCAGAGCCTGTACCAACTTGTGCAAACATCCGAGGGACCTTCCCAGCAGCCTGGTCCGCCACACAGATTGCAGACATGGAACTCTCAGACTTCGAGGACTGCCTGGCACTGTTTGCAGCAGATCCGGGGCTTGCGCCTGAGGAACTACAGGCAGCCATGGGCAAGGCAAAGAAGGTCAGGGATGGGGAAGCCACTAGCAGTTAGAGGGGGAAACAGGAGGCAGTTGGTTAGGCATGATGTGGAACACAAGGGAATGGAGAGCTGGGAGAGAGTCAGGAAAACGAGATAATGGATCACAAGTAGGTCAGAAGGGATCAATATTGAGGAAATGGAGCTAGTACACAGAGGGACTAGAGAAGTGGTTTATCAACTTCTAATATCAAAACCATCTAGGGAGCAGGTTTTAAAAATACTAGTGCTGGGGTATAATGCTAGTCTAAGAATCTCGGTTTGGAGCCTCAGCATCTGCATTTTAACATGCACATCAGTGAGTGTGTTACACAAAGTCCATCCATCCCACAGACCCAGAACTGTGGCTGGCCAAAGGCCCAGGGATTTCTTTCTATCTTTATAACCCATACTGCTGACCTTAGAGACTCTGTGGTTTATTCACTCTGAGGTCTTGAATAAAAATATTCTCTCCTGCCTCTTTTCTGAGGAGTTCCCTTTTTCTCTCCTTTTATAAAGGGATAGGGGCAGTCTTTGTGGTTATTTTATCTTCTGATCCTAATAATGAAAGAATAGAATTCAGCACCACCCATCACTCCCTGGTCACTTCCTCCTCTAGTCTAATAATTCCTTTGTCCTTTGTCCTTTTCTTTGTCCTGTGTCCTCACTCTCCACCTCCTCTGTAGCTCCGGGGCGTGGTCTCCCGTTTCCTGCGGCAGAGTGGTCGGCATGTCAGCCATCTGGACTTCATTCACCTGACGGCCTTGGGCTACACGCTGTGTGGACTGAGGCCAGAGGAGCTGCAGCATATCAGCAGTTGGGAGTTCAGGTCACTTGTGGGGGGTTGTGGGGGTGCTGAAGGAGGGCTCCCTGGGGAGGGAGGATCGGGAGGGAGGCATCCCATGGGAGAAGGAAGTGCATCTGAAGCCGTGTCTTCCCCTGTCACACTAACACAGCCTCAGTCCCCAGGCTCACTTCTCCCTTCCTTCCCACTCTCCCACAGCCAAGCAGCTCTGTTCCTGGGCAGCCTGCACCTCCAGTGCTCCGAGGAACAGCTGGAAGTTCTGGCCCACCTTCTTGTGCTGCCTGGTGGCTTTGGCCCAGTCAGTAACTGGGGGCCTGAGATCTTCACTGAAATTGGCACAATAGCAGGTGGAGAGGCTGGGCCACTGCTGGAACCTGTTGCCATGGTTTGGTTTTTGTATCATGGGTGGACGGGCAAAGGACTACCATGGACTTCTTTTTTAAATTCTTATTCGACTTTAATTTTTATTAGTACATGCTTGTAGTCTATAATGATTACATTCATTGCAGAAATTGTTACATGTATACAGCACATCATAATTATTTTTCTCCCCTTCTCCTCTACTTTTATTTAAAAAGAATTTTTGGCCAGCATGAGATTCATTTTCTATAAGTCCTTTTCAAGTTAATTATCATAAACACAAAGTAACACATAGACCAACAGGCAAACAATGTATGATAATCATATTAAACAATGTATGATAATCATATTATAAACAATGTATGATAATCATATTAAATCAAAGTATACTTTTAGATACATTGTCCGTGCCACATTACAATAATCATTTTTTCTCTCTCTTTTTCCTATTGTCTGTTTTTTATTTTATACTTTACTTATATATTGGGTTCCTTGCATGAAAACTATGTTATATTTAAGCTTTTGTATCTGATTTACTTTGCTTAACATTATGATTTTAAGTTGCATCTATTTTCCTACAAATGGCTCATGTTTTTCCTTCTTTGTGGCAGGGTAGTATTCCATTGTATATAAATACCATGTTTTTTTCATTTATCTATTGAGAGACATAAAGTACAGTAGTACATACAGATTATTTCCAAGGTTTAGCTATGATGAGTTGTGCTGCTATAGACATGAGTTTGCATGCATCACTGTAATACTATGATTTTAACTCTTTTGTGAAGATACCTAGAAGGGGAATAGCTGAGTCAAATGAAATTTCTAGTTTCGATGTTTTGAGCTCTTCACGCTGATTTCCAGTTACCCTGGACTCCTGAAAGTGCAAGTCTGAAAGGTGTTTAAGTAAGGGCTTGGAGGCATGTTAGGGAAGGTCTGTGGTAGGGAGAGCACTTAGAGATCTATAGGTTTGAAGACAGTAAAAGGCTACTCTATGACATGCATCTTCCATTCTTCAACAGCTGGGATCCCAGACCTGGCTCTTTCAGCTCTGCTGCGGGGACAGATCCAGGGCCTGACCCCTCTTGCCATTTCTGTCATCCCTGCTCCTAAATTTGCTGTAAGATTTGATGGACTGGGGCCTGGGGTGACTGCAGGACAGCCAGGGGGCTACATAGATGCATTGATTCTTTTCTCTACCACCAGGTGGTGTTCAGCCCCACCCAGCTGTCCAGTCTCTCCAGTGTCCAGGCTGCGGCTGTCACTCCTGAGCAAATGGCCCTTCTGAGTCCTGAGCAGCGACGAGCAGTTGTATGGGCCCAACATGAGGGCAAAGAGACTCCTGAACGGCAGAGTGAGTTCCCAGCAGCTGGACCCTCCATCTAAGGTCCGGCTTGACCTGAAATCTCAGGTCTAACGTGGCGCTGTCTGGCCTTTACTCTTGCCTCCTTCCCCACAAGGAGATCCTTGGAGTGAAGGGTCGATAGGTAGAGAACTAGTTTCAAAGTTTCGAAGGCTTCTGGGGAACAAAGTTGTGATGTTCTTTCTATTCCTGGTGTTGTTATAGGTCGAAGCTCAGCTTGTTGCTCTCGGTGCTGGTCACAACCCGCCTGGGCCCTGGCACTGATCAGCTTCCTTGGGCACCTGCGGTGAGCCTGTCTACAGCTGAGGGAGATCGCTGTCGAGAGAAACCCTACATCATAATGAATAAAGTGCATCCTAATTATTCTCAGGAGCTGAGGAGGAATCTGGGCAAATGCTGATGCTTCCCACTCACCTGAGAGCCGGCTTCTCTGGCATGTCACACCTAAAGTCTCCTTCCATCATACATCACCCCACTGCTTCTTTTCATTTCCTGGAGTTTTGCTGCTTCCTCATTCCATCAATAAAATAACACAAACAGCTGGAGCACAGTAAGGAGTTTCTACTAGAATGTAAATAAGGAGGAGAAGAGGGGTTGAAAAAAGAGGGGAATGGAAAAAAATAAAAGAGGAATCAAGACATATCATGTGTGGGTACGAAGTCCCTGTAATGAATATGATCATTATCTTATCTAAATTGTACCAATAAACTTAATAAAAAGTAAATTAATCTTACTCTAAAAGATAGAATGAAAGCAGGATTAGGAGGCAGGAAGGTCCAGGGCAAGTAGAAGTGGCCACCATGAAATGAATAGAATGTTTGGGGATCTTGAGTCAACTGCCTGAGATAAGGAGTTAGTGTTTGTTGTAGATAAGAGGGGCAGGGGTGTGGGGATCATGACTTCTTTTCAGAGGTTACTTTCAGTCACTAAAATAGTTTACTCCATCAGTGACCAGTTGTAACAACTCCACCTGAAGGACACCAATCCTTGACCTCTGCTTCCTATAATCTGAGTTTCTTTCTTTCACACTGCTTGACTTTCCTGCTCTGGAAACTCATTTCTAGTTACCTGCTCCATCAAATCTGAATTTCATTTCAGATTCTATTGCTGTTGGGGTTTATATCTAGATTTTTTCCCCAAAGACTCATGAGCGCATAGGTGGGAACTTGGGAAGGTGATTGGATCATGTGGACATGATATTCATCAACACATTAGTCTACTAGTGAGTTTATAACTAAATGCGATGTTGGGAGGTAAAGCTTGATTGGAGGAGGTAGGATACTGGGGCCATAGCCTGGAAGGGTCTATGTCCCTCCATCAATCCTTGATCTCTCTCTCTCTCTCTCTCTCTCTCTCTCTCTCTCTCTCTCTCTCTCTGTCTGTCTCTCTCTCTCTCCCTGCTGTCTGCCATGCCATGATCTATTTCTCCTCTGTCATGCTTTCTTGCCTTGCAGTCAACCAACTATGGACTAAAACCTCTACAAACTGTAAGCCAAGAGAGACTGTAAGCCAAAAGAGTATCTTTTAATTGTGGGTATCAGGTATTTTGTCGCAGTAACAAGAAACTAAGGCAATTATATTCTTGAAGCTCAATCACTGTGCACATCTCAGCTTCTGCAGATCTATACCTCTCTTCACCTTAACCTCTTAGTATCTCATGTCTGACTAGCCCAGTTAGTCCAAACTAGAGAGTCAAAAATGCTGCCATGGTATGAGTGTCCATTCCTCTGGTATTGTGCTTTTGGAGTCTTAGGTTCTATAGGATTTTTGGGAAGCAGCTCTCCTAGAGAGGAGGCAAGGATTGGAGGCAAAGATTATTCCTGCTGCTCAGAGCTCTTTTATAGTCACAGTATACGTGGCTTTTTTGAAATCACTCTTTCTCCCTCCCCACCCACACCCCTCATCCTCCTTTATACCCCCTTTAGTCCCAGAGTTCCTTTACTTTGTTTAGCAGGAACAGTCTGATGTACACTCCTGCTTAAATTCCAGTTTCCAGGTTAGATGGACAAGTAAAGACGTAACCTAAATATTCATTTCACATGGTCGTGTTCCTGGATCAACTGCTCCACCAGAGTCCACAGACTGTAGTAGTAAAAAATTAGTAAAATGTGGTTTTAGCTAGAACCTTAGAAACTCTAATATATCTATAATCGGAGGACTGGATATGAATGAATAATTTCGTTCTTTTTATTTTGGTGAAAATAGTTTATTACTGTCATCATGCATGCAAAGAAACTTGAGGGAGTAGTGCATTAAGAATGATTCATGGAAATAAACAGAAGGTAAACTGAACTGAGAAAGAAATTAATTATTCAATATTTTCTCAATATATTATCTGCTTTGCTAATGAGCAGAGCGTCCTTGCAGATGGAAAATGAAGGTGTAAGCTTTGTAACAGGAAGAAGCATGAGAACCTTCTGTTAGAGTGGAAGGAACATATGGGAGAAATGTGAAAACAGTAAAAAGCCAGATTCGTAGGTATCTCTGTGGAGAGCAAGAGCAGGCACAGGAAGGGCATTCTTGTTGCATGGCTGATTATCCTGACAGTGCAGATGACTATCAGAGCTGAAGAGACAGAGGATCTGCCAGAGCAGTGGACACGAAGACCACTCTAGCCAACACTAGTGAAGAGAACCCTTTTTACCTTTCAGAAAGAACCATGGTATGGGAAATTCTTAAAGATGAACATGGGGAAACCCTTATGTCAAGAAAATAACACTTTAAACTTGTACTGAGACTTTTTGCGGACCAATTACTTTACCTACATTATGTCAGTTATTTCCCACAGCAACCTAAAACAAGAAATCTTATCTCAATTTTATGCACAAGGAAACTGAGGCATGTAATTTAAAGAGTACTGCCCTACTGATTCATAGTCAGAATGTTATCTGTTATTTGTCAAAAAATATGCATTATTGTCTAGAACCTAAAACAAGAGTTATTGCTTTGTAAGTCCAAAATCAAACCAAATATAAGGAAATTTGCAGTAAGAATTAGGTTTGTGGCAGTTTTCAGTGCAGAACTAATTATGGAGACCCAACTATCACAGGACTGTGGAATCAGTTCAACTCCTAACAGAGAGCAGCACATTCTAGAATTCAAGTCATTGCACTCTCTACCTTCCTTGGTTTCTCTTCTCAGTTTAAAGCCCACTGTCTTGGCTGTTTTTATTACTGGAACAAAATACCTGATGCTCATGTCATAAAGGAAGAAAGGTTTATTTTGGCTCTTTTATAGAGGTTGCAGTCTGTAGTCGGCCAGCTCCAACGCAAGTTGCCATGGCACAGGCAATGGCAGAGGAGTGTTTTCCATGGCATGGCAGACAGGAAACAGAATCAAGGGATGGGCTGAGAAGTGAGATGACCCTTCCAATCCACACCCTCATTTATCAGACTCCATCTCCCCACATCACATTTAGCAGTAAACTCATAGCAGATTGATGATGAATATTAGTCTCCCCATGATCCAATCACCTCCCAAAGGCACCACCTATAATCACATGCGGTTTTTTTTTTAAATTTTATTTAAGAGGAAAAAGAAAAACACAAAACAAAACAAAGCGGTGTAAGGGTACACGTAATACAGAACTACAAAAAAAAAAAAAAAAAATAAGAAATCACCTGTTAATAGATTACATATTATCATCTTAGAAATAGTAGCTCAAATCACAGTATCAAAGAATACAAAGTGGACACTCAAACAGACAGACTGCACACAGCTGTGTTCAATGATCCAAAAACATTAATATAGTCAGCTATTTAACACCCCTAAACACACTTGCTGTTATATCCGTTAGAGCTCTTTTTTTTCCCCTCTCTTTTTTACAACAAAATTTGCACATTTTGGATTTTATTACTCCTTAGTTCTTATTACTTTTTTTGGGGGGGAGAGAATAAAGTCAAATATGGCAAAACAAAGCAATCACATGAGGTTTTGCAAGAACATCTAGAAATGAACCATAATACCGAGACGTGATACTTCAGCAGAAATGACTAAATCCAGAGCCAAGGGCTACTGTGGCTCAGAACAGAGGGACTGCTCCACAAATGTGAATACACCCATCTCTCGCCTTTGACATTAATACAGAGTCAAACACATTTCCTTATCTGCACACTCCATGGGCCGAAACCACACGCCCCAGCACTGACTTGCTGTCTGTTATTTCTTCTTTGCTTTTTTCTGAGAACTGTTTTATATAAATCGTCAGATTTTGGACATTTTATCTCCCTTTTCTTAAAGTGACCATATGTCCTGGTTTTCCCAAGCTAGTCCTCATTTGTACCCATTTCCTGGATTAATTAACAATGACCCTATTTACTATCAGAAGTGTCCTGAATCAGTTGATCAATGATAATCAGTCCTGAGCTGCTCTTCAGTTTTATTTCTCCCTGCCTAGCTCCCTTAACACCTCTTTCTAACATATTTGAGGCCCTGGCAGAATCTTTTGTGCATTCTCTTCACATTACTACCTTTCTCCATGGAGATGACCTTTTATGACCCTTCTCACTCATCCAGATTGAGAATGTTCCTGAGGGCTGGAGGTAAAGGGATCAAGATACAAGAGGAGAACTGGGAGATAGAGGAAAAAAGGGCTTTTGTGGGCATGGAGAATAAAAGAGGTAAGGAGCAGCCTCATGCTGAGCAACTGGCCAGTCTTGGCCCATTTGTGCTTCAGTCAGTAATGCGGCACAGGCTGGTCAGACAGAGAGTGGTCTGGGGAGAGCAAAGTGACATGGGTTAAGAATCCTCACAGTAGCCACTAGGCCTCTCAGAGCCTATGTCTTCCCCTGGCCCACCCTCTCCTGGGGCCCTTTTACCATCTGCTCTTCCCACCCAGCTCGCTCTCAAGGCCCCTCACATCAATAGACTGCTGCTGCTCAGTCTCTGTCATCTCACTGAGCCTGTAAGAAATGTCCAGCCAGGTGACACTTCAGGCCACTCAGTGTGTCCACCACAGCGCGTTCCACCTCTCATCATTCTGCCTAAGTGCAGGCTGGAGGCAGATTGAGTCACTGGGTAATTCAGCCAGTTCTGACCCCTGAGGACAATAAATACCTTTCATCAAAGGAGCCAGAATGGATTTGAAAAAAGAAAAAAAGGAAAATGCATATAAGTCACAGAAACAGAGAATGGCAGTGAGGGCCCTTGGGAAAGGAGAGATCTCAGGACCCAAGGGCTCATTGTGATTTCCTCCTACATACACTAGAAAGAGGGGGCCACTGGACAAGCACCCTAACTGAAGAAGACATTGGGGAGCCTTCCCCAAGCTTCCCACTTTAGGAGATGGTGATTTTGATCCACCTTGTCTTCTCCATCTCTGCCATTCCCTAAGATGTGATCTTTCCTCCAATCAACATCAGTAGTACAACAACCATGAGTCAAGGTATTGGAATTGGAGCTACACAATGTTGTAGGCAGCATCACAAATCAAAAGTGTAATACTTGGCCCAAGTGATGGCATCCAGGTCAGTGGTCTGCTTCAACATCTGGAGTTCTTAGCCATTGCGCTGCTCCTGGATCACAGGGTCAAACAGGTCAGTAAATATCTGAAAGGGAGAGGTGCCTACAGAGGGG